GTGCACCGGTTCCAAAGAATTCGTCGCCGTACCCCTTCGGGGTACTTGTATTATGACGCGCTGCCGTCCAGCGCACAATGGTCTGCAGCGAAGTAATTTTTGGCAAAATAACAATTTCTCAACTTCAATTTATGGAAAACATGTTTCTTCCTATGAACTGGTAACTTATCCGATAACTCTATAAAGATAAAAATATTGAAATTGAAGTTGAAGCATTTGATTTAATTCATGGTTAGGAGCATTAAAATACTCGTTTGTTTTAGTAATACGAAGGTGATTACAATTTAGACTTTAACACTAGATTTACGGAGCACAAAAAACAGCTCTTTTATATCAGTTTAGAAAAGTAACAATAAGACATTTATTCTGATTTTTAACAAGTGTTATTGTAACATTTGCCGTAAGTAACGTATAAATTGAATAAATAACTCATACATGTATTTTTACGATATGAATAATCGTAAATATTAAAAAATTAGTGACCCGCCATTTTGATGGGTTCGGTAAATCTAGTGTTAAGAAGCATTTAAAAACAAAACTATAGAATGTGTTAAATATCCGATTTGTTTCATATAAAAACTGACAGTATTACGAAAAAGATCGTACAAATTTTAGCTGCTATTATTTGCGCTTTCTAATTTTCTATGGATTTTAAGAAACCGCAACGCGGTGTTTTCAACGTTGCGACGCGACGCGTCCTGTCAGTTCGGGTCGTAACAGTAGCCACTTGATAGACTCCTTTCAAAGACGACGAGCAAAGGAACATGCCTCTTATCTACTGCTTATAAATTCAATAAACAGTAGCTTTTGGATTTGGGTCTTGGAATATCGGCCCTGTTGGTTCGTTGATTCAAAAGATATTTATAATACATTTTGGTATGTTCACATTACTTATTTAATATTATATCATTTAACTACAGATTTTTTACATTTTTTACAACGAAACATTTGTTACAATGGTTTATTTTTAATGTAAAAAACTACAAATTACCTAAATACTCCATAGAAAGATTAATATATTCCGATCATAGAAACTATGTAATCTTGGCGTTTTATATAACTGCGCGCTCGCATCCAATTTCAAAATAAACCACAATATTTCAGACATTTTCAATGATCTGGCAAGAACATATTTCCAACAAAAGTTGGTCGGTACTCACTTTTCTACCTATTAGAATGTAATAGCTTCCAAAAAAATTTCTTTTTATAAAAAGTGCTGAACACCTCAATTTTTTAAATGTCAACATATATTTTTTACCTGATAATATTGTAGCTGGTGTCGAGACGAATTCAACGACCTACTGCTCTCTCTCGCTCTCTCTCTCCTCTCTCTCTCTCTCTCTCTCTCTCTCTCTCTCTCTCTCTCTCTCTCACACACACACACACAGCTCTGCTACTCGATTAGCATTGAAATCGGCCTTTTCCAAATCCACCAGGAATTTAATCATATTCAAATTACCACTTTTAGCAGCCATGTGCAAAACTGTCATGCCAGACTTCGTTTTAGCAACAATATTGGCGCCTTTAATTAACAGAAACTTAACCATCTTTAAATTACCACGTTTAGCAGCCATATGCAAAACTGTTCTGTCACCACTGTCTTTAGCATTGAAATCGACCTTTTTCTCATCCACCAGGAATTTAATCATATTCAAATTACCACTTTTAGCAGCCATGTGCAAAACTGTCATGCCAGACTTAGTTTTAGCAACAATATTGGCGCCTTTAATTAACAGAAACTTAACCATCTTTAAATTACCACGTTTAGCAGCCATATGCAAAACTGTTCTGTCACCACTGTCTTTAGCATTGAAATCGGCCTTTTTCTCATCCACCAGGAATTTAATCATTTTCAAATTACCACTTTCAACTGCCATATGCAAAACTGTCACGCCAGACTTAGTTTCAGCAACAATATTGGCGCCTTTAATTACCAGAAACTTAACTATCTTTAAATTACCACGTTTAGCAGCCATGTGCAAAACTGTCATGCCAGACTTGGTTTTAGCATCAACATTGGCACCTTTCAATACCAGAAACTTAACCATATTTAAGTTACCACGTTTAGTAGCCGTGTGTAAAATTGTTATTCCTCTCCAATCTTCAGCATGAAAATTTACCTTTTTCTCATCCACCAGAAATTTAACTATCTCCAATTTACCAGAGCCAGCAGCCATGTGCAAAACCGTGCTGCCGTTATTGTCTTTAGCATTAAAATCGGCCTTTTTCTCATTAATCAGAAATTTAACCATGTCCAAGTTGCCAGACACAGCTGCCACGTGCAAGACTTTAGGATCAACGATGCTACTTGAATTATCTAACACAAAACCGGCGATTCCTATATTACTTTCCTTGGCTGCTACAATTAAAACTTCTATAACATTATATTCTACTTTTAGTCGTATATTCGTTGTTTTCTGTTTTAAAAGCTTACTATTTAAGAATGTTCGAATAACTTGATAATCCGGTTGTAGTAAAACCACCGATAAGTCTATTCGTTGACACTCATTTCCTTTTTTCCATTCGTCTATCCAATTTAAGATTGCTTTAGCAGCAAAGTATTCTGTAAAAGTTGGATGCGTAAACTCAACATTGTTACCATCGGATCTAACAATCCCAGCTGATAGCACTATGTCTCTAAATTTTTCAAATTTTTCTAAGGATTGTTTGAACAATGGTTTAAGAATTAAATATTTGGCTAGATCTTTATGAAAATCGTCCAAATTGTCTTTTTCCTGCTCCCGTTTTATTTGTTCCTTAATGTCTGTTTTTTTAAAATAAATACTATACTTTCTGTCAACAAAATTATCAAATACATCCCAAATGTCATTACCCAGATAGCTGAAATCTGGGATTTGACCATTATCTCGTACCCATTCTTTAAAATGTTCTGTAGAACCTTCTAACAATAAATTGAGCTGTAATGGTGTTCCAATGAACTTAGATACATCGCCTTTGAATACTTCGCGCATTTTACTTAAGAATGCCTTGGCGTATGCCTGCATGCTCGTATTTTCTGTCATTTCATCACTACTGCCAAAGATACTTTGAAACTGCTCACGACTGAAAATTAGACTTAGGCGATTTTTTAAATACTTTTTAATGAATTCGCTTGTTGTTTTATCACAAATTGGGTTAATTTCTATAGCAAATGTTGATGCTACACTCTCTAAAGTCTGCTGATAATGGAGACGAGTAGTAATCCAAAATTTAGCTTTTGTTTCGTTCTTTAAACGTTTCAATAATAAGATAATTTTGTCTCTATCCGCTTTATCCAACACTTCATCAAATCCATCGAGTGCTATTAATAAAGGTTTCAGAAAATTCTCCTTTACCAGCGCCATACCTAATAATTTTCTGGCAAAATCATCGCTTATGTTTTTATCAACTTGTGATAAAAATTCTGCAACATTTTTTATTATTTCTGTTGATATATTAAAATCAATATCTCTAATTGCTTGTAAATGATCTTTTAGATTGATCCTAATCAACCAATGCGACTTAATTATCGACCCTACTGTGCCCGATTGTAATGCATACTTAGACTCATATAACTTAACCAAAGTAGTACTTTTGCCTATCCCTGAATCACCAGCGATAATTACCACTTTATCACCTTTAATTTCAGTAATTAAAGCATCCTCTCCTAATAAACGTTTAGTATTCCTATGGTCTTTACATCTATATTTACTCAAATTCATTAACGAACCATGGGTTTTGCACCAAATAAGCTGATCTTGTTCAAACTTATGCAAATGAACCGTTTGTTCGTGATTTTGGTCGACTAGTTCTTGAAAAGTAGCTTCCATATGATCTTGAGAAGTTAGAAACTTAATTCTACATTTCTTGCAATTTTTTTCAAATTCTATTTGTTCTTTATTATCACTAAATTGAAGCCATCTTGTGGCCTCCTCTTTGCTTTTGCCACCGATGATAAATATTTCAGAAAGCGTAGGACTTGCTAACTGTTCTTTTACATTTTTCACAATAATTACTTCATTATTAAATCTGTTACCTTTTAAGTAAAAATCAGGATTATAAATTTGTTCTAGCATGAATTTAGATGCACTACCTTCATGTTTTACATTAATCCAATAAATCTTTCTTTCCCGATTTTTCTGACATATTTGTTTAAAATCTTCTTTTTTAAATTGATCATCAGCTATTTGTATTCTATTGTCAATAGCTCTGTCAATATATCGATTCAATATTGCTATTCGACTTTTGAGATCATTCACTTTTGGTATTTTGCTATTATCTATATCTGCTTTTACTAGGTATTCAATTAACTTGTTCTCTTTGACTGTGCTAGGTATCCCACTAATAATGTAAATATCATTTGATTCTTCTGATAATAATTTATCAACCAAAGTTTTCATATTGACTTCGTCAACTAAGTCAGAATATGCTCCTTCTAAGTCAATTGTGCCTAATGGGCTACTACCTATCTTGATTACTTTATTGACAATAAGTCTCTCTACCGTTTCTGCATCAATTATTTGTTTTGCATCTTTATCCGACTTATCTATTAATTTATTTAAACTAATTTTTTCTCCTTGCAAAGTTACTTCTCGTTCCAAGAGCTTCTGCTGTGATTCTTCAGTTAGGTCATTTAATGTGAATTTGCGATCTGTTGCCTCTTTATAACATTTGTTGGTGAACACCCTTTTCATTTCATGAAATTCCTCTATCTTACTTTCTGGTATTATGAATACGACTTTTCTATCTGATTTTTCTTCTAAAAGTGTATTTAAAATTTTTAAAACATCTGATAATCTTTCCTTATCTGAATCGTAGGGATATCTTATGCATAGCATTTTTCCTGCTGCAGAATAGTATAGGTGGTTGATTTTGTCTCCCTTCTCCATATAAGAATTAAATTTTAAAAAAAGACAATCTCGTATAGGATAATTTCTATTCTCAATTGTTAAGCTTTCATAAATACTTAAAATGCTTAACAACGTGTTCTCTGTTTTTAGAAGAAAAACTTGTTCGTTTGACCTTAGAAAGTTATCAAGATCAATAGGATTTTCAAAATGTATCTCATATTTTATTATATTGTTCATTTCTCCTAAATATTCATTAAGAACTTGTACACTATTCCTTGGCTTAATTAAAAAACTGTTTTTAATGAATTCCTTACATCGATATGCTATTCCTCCTTTTGCTTGATTGGTGTAGTACTCAAAAAGCGACTTGATTTCTTTATTTGTATT